TACATGCAACAATTTGTCCAACAGTAGCTCAGGCTGTTGTTGGAGTAACATCGACGCTTTCGTCTTTTCACTACCCCCCACCCCCCACCCCACCCCACCCTTGCGTTTGCACACCCCCACATGTGATTTATACGTTTCCCAAGATTTTGCAGTCCCTGTGGCAGAACCAGAAACCTTGCATCCCAATTTATTCAAAGGTGTGGCTACACAGCGAAGGCATCTCTCCCAAACAATGGTGTGTGCATCACTCTCCATAGACTTTCAAGTGCCTGGTTTTCGGCACCAAAGGCCCCAAGGTCCAGACAAAGGACATGGCGAAATTCCACTCACCCCAGCTGGGCAAAACGCCCCAGTAGCAGGGGCATCGGCAGTACTCCTTGAACAACAGGTGATGCCTGACATTGCCTGTTGTGTTCCGCACTAGGCAGGCCTCATTATCCACATGATGTCTTTCATTTTTAGGATGCAGTCACATTCGCCACCAAACCCAGCTGCCTAATGAGCAAATACGGACTGACCTTCTGGAAAAGTCCATAGCGTGACGGCTTGGACATGCCATGGATGCCATGTCCAGTTATGTTGGCTTGGATGCAGGCCGGGTCTGTGATGTACACTGTGTAGCCAGCTGGTGGCAGGTTAATCTGAAGAAAGAGCACAGCCACAGCCACCAGTAGTAACTCACTGTCACAACAGCCGGTGATCAATCGGTCCAAGGGGAACAGCCAGGAACAGCAGGGATGTCATGCCTGTGACAGTCCATGCAGGTCGAATGCCATGCAAGATGCGGATAGAGGGTGCTCCTCCCATTGGCCGCCTTCCAGTGATGCGCAGGGGCTGGGCCTGTGCCCCAAATCCACCTGTTCGCCTGATCTACCTGATACACTCAGGTCAAGCTCATCGTTTCCTTTTCACACATCACATTTCAGTGCCCAGGTGCCCCCCCCGGGGCTAACACAAGACATTCACGCCTTGTACCAGCTGGCAGGAAAGCGCAACGCGCTGTGTTGTGTGCTCTGGCGTCGCAGTCGAAGACTGTCACCACAATTTGCAGCTTAAGGGCCTTGTTTAGGCCAAGAAACAGGCACTGCAGGGAATGGACAGGTTTCAGGTGCTGTTGAGACAGACAAAGGTCATAGGGATGGCGTCCAGAGGTGCCCAGCAAGACCCAGAGCAACCCAGGGCAACATGTCAGCCCACAATAATCAGGGATGCATTCCGAAACAGATTTTGAGTCCGGTGGACTTCTGACGACTCGTCGAGTTTTGTGATTGTGGCCAGACCTCGAGAACACCACGGAACAACACACGAAAATCACGGAACGCAGGCGCAAGCATGCCCCACGGTTCATGCACCGCCAGCCCAATCGCGCACAGCAGCTACCAAAATGGGGCTGCCAGGCACACCATCGGCCAGCTCAAGCCGCGCCCCAGCCCACAACGCCATGGGGCCCCAACCTTGATGACTTTCCCGTACGCCTTGACCCACTCCAACACCTTCAGGTGAATCTGCGGCTTGTCCCACGTCAGCACTTGCGGCAGGTTGCCCAGGAGCGGGTACCCCGGGGGGCCCGGGATCCGGTGAAGGTCGTACTTTTGCCGAAGCCACAAGTTTCGCAGGATACGACGGAGGACCAAGGCCAACGCAGCAAAGGCGGCTATCAGCTTCAGAACGCCAAAGGCCATGGCGTACGCTGCCGTTGGCGGGGCGGGGCCCTCTTTGACGCTGTTGCCGTGCTTCTGCCTCAGCACACGGCCCAATTTCACTGGACCCCACGTGCGCAGCTGCGCTGGGTACGTGGCAGCGCCACGGGAAGGTGTGATCCGGGCCCTCGAAATGTGTGATCAGTATCGTCATGCCAATGTGCTGGCGGTGTCTGAGGGCGTAAGGCTACGTTTCAGGCGTGGAGGGTATGGCTTAAGAGGAGGACGGGTCTTAAAAAGGCCGCTCTTTCCTGCGCAAGCGTGTGCGAGGTCTCACAAGAGAGCCTACTCTTTTCGTGACGGAGTGGGATGCGGCGAGCAGCCACGAAGCGTCATTTGACTCGAGCGAACGAAGCACGGCGGCTGAGATGCGAACACCTGCGGCTGCTCTTCGTAAAGACCTTTTGCACGGGCCCTTACAACTTCGCGTGCTGTGGCTGTTAAGACCGATACCTGCGATCAGCGAAACCCATCGTGCGAGCTCTGGACTGCTGTGGCAAGTTCAAGGCAACCACTCAGACCACGAGAGTAATTGATATACCCAGTGAAACGGCAGTTACAATGAGGCTACTCGAACACTCTGTACGTGGCGGCGCCAGATATGGCTGGTGAATGCTTGGGCACTGCAAATATGTCACATCTCAGATAACGATGACAAGTACTGTAAAATGTTCAACCCTTCCGCACACTAACGTAACGCTTGGTCCTTTTTTGCGAAGAAAATAATATAAATAGTAACGCAAATCTTGGCCTCTCTGTCCGGAGCAACGTAAAAAAATAGAGATAACGCTCTGAAAAACAAAATGCGCGGCAAAAAGCACAACGGTGAAATTTTCTGATGCGGAAGGCTTTAATATTTCGAAGTAGCTTGCACGAGCTGGCTGCCTACCCGTTGGAAAGCAACGGTTGCCTGTCAGCCCAACAGTGATACATCTCTAAATCGGACATTTTTCCCTCCAAACTGGGTAACATTATATCGACATATTTCCAAATCAACTGTCATCCAACATTGGGTGGCTCAGCCACCCCAGGAAGTTTGCACATTTCCTGAATGCTTATTGTGTCACCCCAGTTCGACAGCGCATTTGGGAGGTCTCAAGGCGGATTTGCACCGTTACGGCGGTTGGCCTCAAGAACCGGCCATCGACAGGCTTACTATACCCTAGAATGCATTAAAACAACGCAGATGCATTCCGGAGTCCGTTCACAACAAAATCGACATGATCCAAGCAAGATTCATGCCCCACCAATAGGAATCATTCCCATTGGTGCCCATTAAAATCCCAGGACATGATTGTTGCTTACAAGCAGTCATGTGCCCTTTTCGCTTTGCACTTGCCATGGCGGCTTAACGTTTTACTCATAAGCAAAACTCCCCCACACACACACACTTACCCACCCACCCACCAACACCACCACTAGGGGCTTTGAGCCAAGGCACAAAACGGGCATTTCACATTATGACTTCATGACATATCGGTCTGATGGGCATTTCTGCGTCCAAATTGGTTCGCAGTGCCATACCGGCCACCACATTTCTAGTACTGTTTCGGCAGGGTGCATGCCAGCAGCATGTTTCTACTTCCCCAATCGATTATTCAGTTCAATTCAATTCTTGTGAGGCTGCGCATGTGCGTCAAACAAACCAATGCGCACTGGTTTGTTTGACTAAAAAGTGTCGCCCTATGTGTCTGCATCCCGGGTGCGGCAGTCACTGCCACATTCCTCAAACGACAGCCAAGGTGACCGCATTGTACTGGCGAGACGTTGCACCATCCCACCCGCCCATTCCCTCTGCAAGCCTGCAGCCAGGAGAAACATTCCCCACCATGCTGTCAGGCGAAGGTGAGGGAACGGAAACCCAATCCTGAACTGCCTGTGTACTGGCTATTATGCAAGAGGAAGTTGTGCGTTAGAAACCGCAGTACATGACCCACGCCAAAAGTGCGGTGGTGAGAGACAGTGCCACTAGGAAAAAACAGGCCAGATGACACAATCCTGACACGGTCTGCTCAAAATCCAACTGTGTACTTTCGGCAAATGTGGTCCCAAAAGTGCACAGTTAATACACATATTGATATAGTTTCAACCGTGTACCCTCAAACAACTGTGTAGACTGCACGGTTTCGTAGGTTACACGGTTAAAACTGTGTCAATGATAACGTGCGCTTTGGGATACCAGCGGATGAGCATCAGACTGTCGACTTACTGGAAATGTCGGGGTTTATATTGGCGAATTTCGATGTGTTTTTACACAACAACGCAGCCAACATGCAGTGGAAATATGAACAGTACTTGTGTGGATATGCCAACTAGCTGTTGCATGCTGAAAACACCATGAACATCTTCTCATCACTTCATTTTACCAAGTCCACCTGTGTCCTTGCGAATGAGGCACTACCATTGCAACGCAAGCATGATGTAAAAATCGTGGAATAGACAGCGGATAGAAACGACTTGAGCGGCAGCAGACAGCCGTGATTTTTGTAGTAATTTTAGTTGTGTGAAACTGCTGCGTTTCTGAACAAACACACTGTGTCCAACGACAGCCACAAGAACCATCACAGTCAGGCACAGTCGCGAATTACATGCAGTTGGCTAGTAATTCATATATTTTATTCTGGTTGGTGCATGCTATGCTGCATATCAGTCCATCACTGCGCAGTGACAATAATTAAATCTGCAATCGCACGCAGATGGGGAAGCATGAACCATGAGCCATGGCCAGGATTGCACAGATGTGTATATAAGTACATTTTGTATACATAATGTGCACATTCTTTTGTTTCGGCTCATATTCAATATGAAAATATGCAAAACTATTTCATAATAGCGCATCATTTTCATTGATTCCACAACGAGTATCTTAGTCATACACCCCCATCAACGTCCCATCAAAGTTACTGGATAAATGCGCAATTCTCAAACAAATGCTCAGAAACAGGAGAAAAAAGGAAAGAAAGTGCTTAACTAGAATGGTGTTGGCAAGGAAGGGTGTTGTTGTTGGGCAAGTGTATCAATGATGCAGTACTTCAATGGAACATGACGCAGTGAGTTTGTTTCTCAGCAACAAATAATCCATGCAATAATAATTATGAGGATAAGAAAAGGTGTATGAGCAGTTAAGTGAGAATGGGACAGTGGGTAAGGTGTTTATTACGGTGACATGGAGAATGATGGGAGAAAGACATGAGCTGAACATACTTGCAGTGAATGCTACATGACTGACAGAACCATTCTATAATCCATCTGGTTGCGGCTTGCTTCCCGTGCCTGGGAGCGACCGTGTGAGAGCGCGAGCAAGGAGCGCGAACAACGAAACCACCCGACATGGTTTCGGAGCCCAGGTCGCGCCGGTCATGGAGACCGGCCTGGCGAGCCTGGTGGACGTGCTGGCTAGTGTTGCTGGCACTCGAACCGGGGATTGAGGTCGACCTCGGATCGACCTGCGGCGGTCTTGGCTGAGCGTTGAACAGCTGAGATTGTTGCAAGTTATGGCGCAAGGTGCGGCAGTGGGAGATCTTCCACGCGCAGAGGACATTTGCCCACCATTGGCGGAAGCGGGAGCGGTGGAGGTGGGGAGACTTGGCGGATGCGGGAACGACCTCAAGCTGCGCGTCAAGGCGGACGGACAGTGCTGGAAATGAGGCGGTGAGTGGGGGGACAGTGGGGCGGGTTCAGGTTGTTCCTTGGCATACGGGCCCGGGGGAGACGATGGATTCGGTGGGGAATACTGCAAATCGCACAGTAACTGGTGGGGTGGCGGACCATGTCGGTGGCGCGGCAAATGGCTAGGCTTCGGCGGAAGTGGGAGTGTACTCGGATGCCATACCGAGTCAAAGATTTGGTGCCGGGAAAGGCGCAGTGGGCCAAGATGTGGGGGGACGGGCGAAAGACGCTGCGAGTGGTGCAAGGGCCGGGGAGGTGGGGGGACAAGTTGGGGACCGCACGATGGATGGAGGAATGTCAGAAACGACCGGTGATGCCGCGAATGGCGCAGCAACCAGAGTGGCAACGGTACCCAGAGTTTCGCCGGGTGTTGCGGACGGAACAGCATGCCACGTACGGCATGGAGGCGTTGGAGAATGGGGAGTGATGGCACGGGTGATCGGTGGGTTGCTGGGCGCGGTAACTGGAAGAGCTACGGCGTGGGGCCATGTCGCAGCGTTTTGTATGTTGGCTGGAAGCTCGGGGGAGCGGGCAAGCGACGCAGTCGGTCAGCCGACATGCAAGCCGGCAGGCGCTCCGCGTGTGCGGACGCGAGTGCGTAGGGCGTCGGGTGTGTGGGCGGTTGGGAACCGTGAGAGCCGCACGGGACATGAGCGCTCTGAGGATGGTGACCTGCCAGCGAACGACTCGGACTCTCGAAAGGCCACTGAAGTGGGCAAGATGTGCAGCGAGTATGCAGCATTGGTCGCCGTGCGGAGCGGGCCTCAGCATCCGCCGGCGGGGGTGCCTGACGCCAAGGTGCCTGGGTCACAGCGGCGACTAGAGAGCGCATGGGGCGCAGAGGGACCAGCTGAGGTGACTGGCCACATGCATGACACATTAGTCACGGGCGCCGGGAACGGGTTCCCTTCAAGGGAACCACCTTCTGTGATGAGAAGAAGCTCCGACGCGCATGATTGCAGCTGGGCGCCCACTCCAGTCAAGAATTGCGGTCACGAAGACCTCCATTACAACACTCCTGTCGTCGTTACTATCGCCAGGCCCCCAGTAGCTGTTGCGACCAACCCCCTACCCTCCCCCAATGTGACGCCCATTGGTAGCCCTATCAGCGAGGGAATTCTGCGGATGCAAGCGCGACTCCATGGTGCATCCGGGCCTCATAAACCTGGCTTTCCTCTCCCTCGGCAGCAGATGCAAGTACCACTTGAGGATCCTTTTGCACCCCCAGTGCCAGAATTTGCCTCGGGACCTGTCGGGCATTAGCTGCGCAAGCGAGCATTGCCAGTTATTAACTCTCACGGGATGGGGCCGGC